TCCATTCAAAGCGAAGAAGGCAGAAAACTAAGACTAGATAGAATTTGGAGAAAACAATTAAAACGACATTGTACTTGATTACGAATAATCTGATTGGCCACATTACGTATGTTTCCTTGAAAAATGCGGTCACGGGCTTTCATTTAACAAAAAGTATGACGTTGAACGAAATGAGAGGAGGGCAAACAGTAAAAAACCACATGTCATAAGTCAAAGGTTGTGACCAGCACAACAATCGCTTAGAAGCTGTAAGCAAAACAAAACCGGGGCACCGCAACAATATACGCTACATGATTAAGGTAAGTAGCGCAAGCTTTCAGAATTATTTCCGTAGAACTAGTATTGGAAAGCTAAGGCAAGAATCCTTAGCGCTGTCGTCAGTGTTGATGAATGTTCTACTTGCACTCGATCAAAAGCGAAACGCTTCAAACAGCGTAATGCGCAAATAGTTCTTAAAAATTTTTCATCTGCCTACGTCTTAACATTAGGTTGCATATTTCACATAAATGAAACATTTAAGGCGCAATATTTCTCAGCAGTCATCAAATAAGCCCGTTAAACATAAACCTGGCCTGTAGCTGTCGGTGCATAAAACTCGCTGTTTTTGCCCAACTCAAAACAGCGTCATTCCCTCGGTTTTGACGACAATAGACGCGACGCAAGGCCGCCATGTATAGCGGTGATGCACGATGATTCTCCTGTTTTTGGCAACAGTTGATTGATAGTTCCCAAAAAAGAAAAAATTTTAAGCTTGCAACCGTTGGAATGTCAATCGTATTTACACGTTCACGATAGGACCGTTTTTGGCACCTTTTTTCATGAAGTTATTGGTAGGGCGCTGATCTCCATTTCAATATCATCAGCCAGGAGTGACTTATTCTTAAAGGCAGAACTGACCTCCACAGCAACCGTATGACAAGCATACTCTGCATTCTTCTATTTCGCTCCGACTCATTTATCAGAACGGTACTCAATAATAAACCCCTGAAAGAAGAAAAGCGATTATTCTAGATCCGGACACGAAAAAGGGACCTCCCAGTTCTGAGTCCGATGCTCTGCTGACTGAGCAATTCGGTGTGAAGCAACGTGTGGTATATTCCTTGTTCAAAAGAATTCATGGTTAAGACAAAGACGGCACGCCGCCGTAATCAAATTCAGCACTTTTGAGTTCGAAACCGACCTCTCAACGCACTGTAAGGCCATGCCAGTTCCCAATAACAGGATCTCTGTATCATGTGCTCCATGTTCCATCCATCTGTCTGACTTGAAGAATTTATGATTTAAACCACTTGACTTCTGAGTTTCTTTTCTCAATAACTGCCAACTTTCGTGTTCGTACGTGGCTATCAGCTCGACCATTCAAAACCAGATCTAAATTACTGTACGAATTGCCGACATTTCATGCATCTTCAAGTTCAGGCATTCAAGTTTTCTCCAATCTACTGCCTAAAACATGCCGTTTTCATGGTAGCCCGCAGGCTTCGGTCTAAGCGTTTACTTAAGCAGTGATTTATCGCTGACAGCCATCTTCGCTGAGGTCTTGAAAATGTAATGACATTGGTCATGCGGTTTGACTTCATGGTGTACAGCTGTGACAAAATATCCACTCTGTCAAAAACCGTAGACACAAGATTTCTTTCTAGCAGCTGATGTGGTAGCGGCAGGGACAACAAATCCTTCACGCCAAAGATTCTTTATGTATCGAAGCACCTTCATGCCAGCCGAGTTATGCACACTGACGGGCAATCCCGCAGAATATTCACAGTAAGGGTTCAGTGCCAACGAACAAAATAGTGAGCGTTGCGAACATCCGTCAGAGCAAACTTCAGCCTGACAGCAAGTATTCTCGCCAGCACAGTCTGATGTTCCAAACAGGCTTGGGAAGGAATTCAAGAGTTAGTTAAATTACTCAATTAAAGTCAGTTTTCTACATTACTGATGCACTAAACGCGTTATACTATTAACAGACTTAAAATAAGAACATTGTTCATTTATGCGAGAGAATCGGTCCTTAATCTTCATGCTTCTTAAAGAATTGATCCGCATAAAGATTTTAGATAAACTGCCGATGTTTTCAGTCATACTTAGAACGTGCAATGGCAAAAAATAGCTCCAAAAAGGAGGAATCATCTAGGTAAAATTCAAGACGACCGGGAGCTGAACATGGGTTTATCCTAGCATTCTTCATGAAGAATATGAGCGAAGCAGTAAATTGAGGAGTGGATTACTTAAAGAATGAATCAATGAATACAATGAATTTCGATAGTCGATACAGCATTTGATATGAATTAGGCAAACAAGTCATTTTTTCTACTTCTGTACACTTTGATTAATGAGACTACCTCAACAGCTGTCTCACTACTCGGTCATAAAACTGTTCCAAATATAAGTTGTGGTTTTATAAGCAACTGTTTCTGCGAAACAGAACGGCATAAGGATCAGAGAATGGCCAAAATTAACCAGGTGCAAATATAGGGAAGGAGTCTGTTCCAGACTCCAGTTGTCTTCTGCCGAAGCTCAGTCTTTGGCATAGGATCGGGAACGTTGGAAGCTCTGTCTGACGCGTCTGACTCCGCCACCCGAAAGGAGAAGCAACGATGGAAGATGAAAGGTTTATATTCACTACAATAGTTAAAACTTCTTCATATATCAAAGAAAACGTGGCTAACCGATTACAAACACTAATTCGCAATATGCCCTAAAATCCTTTAGAAAACTGTAGTGAGTTAAACGGTCAACATTGCACAAGTAGTGAAGAAAAGATTAAGTGAAAACCAATTTAAAAGCCAAATCAGTAGTTTCTGCAGAAGCACTCCCTGTATTTTCAAAAAACTGCTAAAAAACATATCCGCCTAATATTGATTCCATTACCATCTCACATTTGCAGCTGTATTTGATTGCTGCTCTGTTGGACTGAGCAAGTTTGTTAACGTTAACTTTGCTCTTCTACACATGCCACCTAGGTACGAACGAAGACGACACACAGTTTTTCGATTTTATCAAGTTTGAGAGTACGTTGCTAATGTAAAATAATTTGTATAATCACTTCTATAAATGATTTCAATTTTTCCTTGGACGAACTCTAAACTGGTAGTATTCGTCAATTTCGATTTTCATGTTTGCAGGGTATAGTTTATGGAGGTGGGTACGTAAGTAAGAAATGTTTCTTAAAGGTGATACATAAAAGTTCTGTTATGTCGCCGGTGTACAGTATCACCATGGCTACTCACCTGAGACAGAAATGAACCATTATGATCGTTTCAGTTCCTGAAAAACTAACTGAAACTTCTCCAGAAGCTCACCTAAGCTGAAGACGCAACTACTTAAGCTGAACCAAACATGCAATGCAACTACATTGGTCGACAATGTAACGTGGGTAAAAAGCAGGCAAGATGTGAACGACGAACCCGGCTACGTTCGTTTTCAACCGATTCGTTGTAAAGAAATCAAATGCAAATTTTACTGCATTCGATGGGTCGGAATATGATACAGATCATATTATTTCCTATTCATCCTCCAACAAATCAGCTAGAAGAATGTGACAATCGCTGTTAAAACTTACTTGCGAAGCAAAACCTCCATCACATGATGCAAGAAGTCGCATGTGAAATAATCCCTTTTCGAGGCAATCGCTGTGGACTGTTTAAGAAGTGTGTCCTCTGTGTTTCCACAGTGGCCATCGCCATATAACGAGTGTTCTCAAATGAAGTAAAGGTTTGAGTTTTAATTAATTCTCCCCAAATGAAACAAGAAACAGAACGTGCTGACAGGATGAAAGCGAATTAGATGTGTCAATTGTCGGAGCGGCGCGCATGGCGCGAAATTGCGAGCACCCATTGCGTTATCCTTCGCGACGGATGAGAACTTTTCTGAAAGGATGCCACTTCTCACCAGATGAAATTCACCATCGGCATAAACTTTCGCAGTTTACGA